TTCCATAAANCTGTGCCTATATATCGTACTCACAATTGCTAAATGCCATTCAAAAACATTAAACAATGTTAAACGGGTTTACAGACATAAGAATATGTCAAATCAATGACGAAAAGCCCCATACAAAATTAAACATAGTCCGAACCGTTCTGTTAGTCTTCCATTATCATAACAGCGTTCTATTTCAAATAGATTACCTACTTTTTTAAAAACAACCAAGTCATTGCTATTGTTTCGATGTCACAATGTTTGCTTATGGAAGGAAGGACCCATCTATACGATTTAGAAAGGCAGCTTTCCATTATTTTGACTAGTGAAATGCTAGGAAAAGATGATGATGTTGTAATACTGAATTCAGAATAGTCACAATCATTATAGTGAATACCGATTCTATTATATAATCTCAATTACACGATACTGAATTCTGATTCTATTATATTAGTACCATTATCATGATACTGAATTCTGATTCTATAATATTAGTTCCATTATACATGATACTGAATTCTGATTCTATTCTATTAGTACCATTATTATACATGATACTGAATTATGATTCTATTCTATTAAGACCATTATTATACATGATACTGAATTCTGATTCTATTCTATTAATACCATTTTCATACATGGTACTGAATTCTGATTCTATTCTATTAATACCATTATTATACCTGATACTGAATTCTGATTCTATTCTATTAATACCATTATTATAGATGATACTGAATTCTGATTTGAATTCTGATTCTATTCTATTAATACCATTATTATACATGATACTGAATTCTGATTCTATTCTATTAATACCATTATTATACATGATACTGAATTCTGATTCTATTCTATTAATACCATTATTATAGATGATACTGAATTCTGATTTGAATTCTGATTCTATTCTATTAATACCATTATTATACATGATACTGAATTCTGATTCTATTCTATTAATACCATTATTCTTATACCGACTCCTAATACTATTATATTAACTCCACTGAACTCGATGATACTTAATTTGGATTCTTCTATATTAGTACCATTATCACCAATACTGAATTCGGATTATACTATATTGACTCTATTATCGTATACTGAATTCTGATTCAATCGAATGAAAACCAATGATACTGATTTCTGATTTGAGCACATCTTTCTCATGACACTGAAGTCTGATTCTACTATTTTAACCCCATTGTGATGATTGCCATTTATGACTATCGAATTAACACCATCATCTATTTCAGTACCATTATCATAATGGCGAATTCTGATTATTTTATATTAGTACCATTATCATGATTCTCCTTCGTTAGATGCATTTTCACGATACTGAATTCGGGTTCAATCGAATTAAGACCAAGGTCATGATACTGAATTCTATATTCATGAAAGTGAATTCTGATTCTTCTATTTCAGTACCATTATCATAATGGTGAATTCTGATTATGTTATATTAGTACCATTATCATGATTGTGAATTCTGATTTTACTATATTAGATTTTTAGTTGAATTTTTTGTTGAATAAAGTACGTTTAGTTTGGAGTTATATCCCGTTACTAATTAGATAGTATTTTTTCAGATATTTCCGTGCTTGGTCATCTATGAACAAGTTTAACATATATGTGCTCTAATTAAACAAGTTTAAAGTGATACTACGTCTTGGAATGAATATAAAATTTAAGTCCTCGAAAAGGTCAATATTAGTCTACATTCATCAGTTAGTTTACCTGGTGTCATAAAGTTATGACAGAATCCCTTTAAAATCTGGAAAATTGGAAAATTCATAAAAATAAGTAATTATTAATCTTGATATTAAGTGTTTTTCAATAGTTAATTGCATATTCATGGATAATTACTAAGTTTTTGGGATTTATCAGATTATATAAGGATCCTGTTATGTTATTTATGACACCAGGTATATCTACTGATGAATATGTGCTCTTATTCGCCAAGTTTAAAGTTCTTAAATTTTATGTTAATTCTAAAACGTAGTATCGCTTTAAGTGGGTTATCACATTTTAATAATTTTGACGATCGCTTAAACGTTTGGTACATTTTAATTTTTATAGCGATACACAACCAAACTCTAACCAATGTTGCGTGTCACTTTGTGGGCGAACACTATTGGACAGTAAATACGAAATTGCTGATCTCAAGTCTTTTAGACGAGTTATTTTCAACAGACACTAGGCCAAAGAATAAGGTTATTTCACTTTTACTTATATCTGTTATTGGGAATTGAAGAGATGTAAAAGGAAGTTTAGGATGATAGGATTCACCAACAACTCGACAGCAGAAAGTTAAAAACTATCATCATGCGATCCACGTCTACAATTATCTTTCTCTTCATCCGCTAGCGTCAACAATGTTCGTGATGATTATCATTTGTCTCGACCCCCGGTGGCGAGTTCTCACAAACGAAGCAAATTTAAAAGTAACTCCCTATTGTTCTCTAATGAGGTTTCCTTTCTCAGAATATCTTGACAATAGCTGGAGTATAATATGGTATACATCTACATTATATTCAAATTAAAGTCAACTCCAATATTATATTCACTTCATAGACATCAAACATATTCAGTGTAAACTGATATTAAATCAATAATATGACGTACAGTTTTGTCCTGGTTTATTTACCGATAAAAGTGGTGGAATTGTGAATATCTCAACATTTGTGGTTTCTATTATTAATTCACAAAGGTTACCAAAATGTATAGATACAAATCCATTATCGCGAGCAATATCGTTATTACAGTGTAAATGCTCCATTTCATCACCGAAAAATTCTCTCGAATTGGTCAGTTTATATTTGAAAATATCCACCTTAGTATTTTCAAACTATAATAAACGTATATTATTATTATTATTATCATATTAATAAGACTCCAATGCTATATGCGACTGCAGATGTTTTCAATCACTATCAACAAAAGTGATATTGTATCCATTGTTAAGGTCATAAGTTGTTGCATTAAGGCGTCAATCATTCATATAGACCACAATTGTTAATATCACATTAAATCATATTATTGAAAATAAAACAATATACTTCGCATTTATGCCAATAAATACGTCTATGGAATTAGGTTCTTGCATTACTAATGATGCGAATCAAATCAATTTCCCTGCCACTTCCGTCCACTATTGATAGGCGGAAGTAGTATCGGTAGCTACATTAGCTAGACGGTCCACTAGAGTAATTTATAGCAATCTAAACTCCACGACTGTCCACGAACATCATCAATAATTCAAATCTGATTTCATAATCATACTCCATTGAGAATGAACTGCCGACATCATGACAAGGTTAAGATAGTACCACGTTAATATATAGGAAAGTAAACATCTTAGAGCAAATTCACCTCGAACCACCAAGAGATATGTAAATTGGTCCACAGAGATTAATACATTAAGCAAGCCAGTCAAGGTAGTGAAATTGAAAACCGATGCTGTCAGTAGAGGAGATGATGCACTATATGTCGACCTCATTGTTCATCTATCATGTTCATGAACGAGCACAACAAATACGTTACATAAAAATCCGTAAAAGCAAGACAATTCCGTCAATCAAAAATCTAAAAAGAATGTCAAAATCGCTAGTAAAGGTAGAATAGTAGTGGACTCCTCCAAAAATTGTGCAGGGTTGGGGTTAGGTAGGGTTAGGGTTAAGAAGGGTTTAGGCTAGGCTAGGGTTTGGGTTGATCGTCATTGTCTAAATTGGGATAAAGATTACATGTAGAATCAAAGATGCATTGATAGAAAAAGTTCAATTGCTGGCCGTAGCAGCCATCGGTTGCCTCTGTGTAAAAGGAGACAATAGATGAGTGTGATCTTTTCAGAATACACATGAGTAACGATTTTCAAGGGGGTGACGTTAAGTGGGACAATTATATTTTCGACCACTGTCGACGTCCACAAATGTTTTTAAAATTATGCAATTGTCGAAGTGAAGAGTTCAACAGATTTACTGTGAATATTTAATGATATTATTTTGCTTACAACAAAGCTCCGAGTTGAACCCTATTTAAAATCTGTAACTTTCTAAAACATGTATGGCAACATTTACAGTAAATATCGGTCGGGAAAAACACTCATGTCCTCTGACAGTGTAACACTATATATAATGTAAATGTCTATTATGTCTATTTTAGACACATCGATTAAGACATATTTAAAATTCCCTCGACTTTCTCTATCACATACAGTTAACTTATCTTGAAAGGTCAACACCAAAATAATTATACATTAACTGCATTAGACAGATCTCCATCGAATAATGGAAAATGAAATTAAAGCAATTATCTACAAAGCCTTACTAATTTGATTCATAATTAGTATCCGATGGAAGTCCTTATTAATAAGATTTTCACGCACAGTGTAATTTCCTCAGTTGACTGTTAGAACAGAGCTTCATAAGATTGCGTCACTCGTACAATTGTCTTTCTAGCCGCTCAAACATTGCTTATGAACTTTTATGCGCAATCTGCCATAATGTTTATAGTCGGTGTGTCGAATGCCTTTATTTTTAATCCAACCAAATCACTGCATTTACAAGCTTCTGTGATACATAAAGTTGCCATTACAGTCAACGTATGAGACGAAGTTCGTAATAACTTAAAAAAATAACATCTAAAATGACATTGGGAACGATGGTGTACATAGCTCAATACCATCAAAATATCAATGGCTAGTTTATCGATATCTTGAATAAGCCCATGTTAACTTTGATGATGTAAACCCAACTTTAAATTTCAAGTTCGATTATGAATTTCCACTGTTGAATGAACTGGAAGACAATGTTTATACAGAATCGGAATATGCATCTAGTGTAGAAGGATATTCAATCTACTTTGGTGCGTATGGGTCACACTGACATTTGCACGATTCTGTTGGAGCATTGTCACGCACGATTAAAGTTTTTATTGAACAAGCGTGAGGAGCGAGCGAGAGTGCGTGGCATGTGACGCATAAATTGAAAATGAACAGTACGCAAAATCTGCACAAACACTGCGGATGCGCAATCAATACTTAACATTATGCAGGCCTTTAGCCACGGTAGTTCACCATTTCCCTTACGAATTATTAGCCTACCTGGCCCTGCGAACAATCACGTCTGGCTACATGCCTGCATATATGCGTGAGCAAGTTGTATCATTAGGTCAGACTGCAAACGCTGCGACCCAAACCACTCTACAGTAAATAGTGTCAACGTTTACAGAAAAAGAGAAGGCTTCCAATGGCATAACAGGCAGAAATGTAAACAAAGCTGTTTATCTGTTCGTGGAAGAGTTCTACTTTACTTTTTTGGTGTTTTTGAACGAAGGACTGCTTACTTATGACTCCGGTGTACTTTTTATTAGAAATCAATCAATTTGTACTCGACAAAAACAACTTTAATCTTGTTTTGGAAAATAGTAAACTTCCATGAGCAAAACACCATTACACTGCAGTCCCGCACAAAAAAATTACATATTAAATTTAAAAAATAAAATATTCAAAGAATTATGAAATACGTAGGCCTATTAATGTGTTGGTTTTAATTAATTTTATGTGTGTATATATTTTAAATTACCAAAAAAAGTATTTTAATATAATTACTTAAAATGCTTAATTATAACGTCAGGTTACGTTGGCCTTAGTATATACGGCACTGAAAGGGGCATAGTAAGCCCTTTGTTGTCTGTAGTCTTACCCCACTTAGTATGCAAATTTTTGTGCGTGACAGTGTAATTGCGCTTTGCTCATAGAAGTTTACTATTTTCCAAAACAAGACAAAAGTGTTTTTGTCGAGAATTTATAGGTAGATTTCCAAAAAAGCACACCGGAGTCATAAGCATTTAACACTTTTATTTATTTTTTTATTATTATTATTGATTAATTTTTCATGCTGTTGCTCTGATTGGATACCTTCCTGTTAA